TCCTCGCCCTCGCGCTTCTCGCGCTGCTCGCCCCGCTCGCCCCGCTCGCGGCCGCCGCCACCCCGGTGTACTGCGTGCGCCCGCGCCCGCTGTCGGCGGACTTTTGCATCTCGCCGCCGGTCGTCGCCGACTTTGACTTTGAGCGGTACAACGGAAAGTGGTACCAGATCTACGCCGCGGGCGACTCCGTCGCCGTGTCCACCAATCGCTGCGTCACCGCCAATTACACCTTGCTCGAAGATGGCACCGTCAACGTCCTCAACTGCCAGATGCCGCAGGGGGAGACCCGCCCGCAGTGTCAGCGCGCGCTTGCAGAAAGGCGCGTCGGCGAGCAACCGCCACACATGCACGTCCAGTACGCCCCCTTTCTCCCACCCACCCCGTACAATATTGCCGCCTTACTGGGTGATGCCGAGAGCGGCTACGAGGCCGCTGCCGTATACTCGTGCTCCGTCACCGACCCCGGCCTGGTGGACGGCTTCTTCGTTCTTGCAAGGAGTATCAACCGCCCCGAGGTCGTCATCGAGAACCTGTCTAGCCATCTAAGCTGTATTGGATATCCGCTAAGGGAGCCGTTTGTCCAGTCGTATCTGGGCGACGATTGCAAGTATTTCGATGATGGTGATGGCGTGGTTGAAGTCAATATGTTCGAGCCGGATGAGGATGGCATGCCGCCTGAGGAAGAGGAGGAGGAGGCTACGGCTGGGGAGACCGCGGAACCTGAAGGAGATATGGAAGAATGAGTCCCCGGAAGGACAGTAGGAGCTTTGTCACTAACTGTTATTATTCATCGTGTCTTCTTACTGTCACCCAGTAGACCCCTTTTCTTGCTTGCGCTGCTTTTGCATTGTACGATATCCTATCAGTTTGATAGCAAGAAGAAATTATATGGCTTCTGAATGACACAACACTAAAAAAACAAACTAGTACCTGTAACGCTCTGTTCTAATGCCGCCCCTGAAATAATGCTTGGCCTACTAAATAGTGGCCACCGATCTTTCGCAACCTTGACAACAGATCATGTCCATATCCATATCATCGTCAAATACTATCAATAAACCATTCATAATGCCACTCTGGATTGTTCAGTCGCATTTAAGACATGCTTTCGAAACAAGTTTCATCTTGCATTATTCTTTATCTTCACCCCGCACTTTCATCACTTCCTAAAAATGATTGCATGCGTGTTAACGAGACCCAGGAACAGAGTTCGTGATTAGATAAATGGCCCCATTTTGTTTGCTTGACCAATATATTTGCCCTCTGTTTCCTTGACCAAATCGCAAATCCACCCGCGGCACGTCCTCCAATTCATCATCAAACCGCACAATCTCTCGCAAATTTTGCACTCGCCTCGCCGGCGTGCCAGGGTTGTTATCGTGGTCGTAGAAAATCTGAGGTCTGAAGGTGGTAGCCTGTGTCAGCTGTGCCGGTGGTCCCGTAACCCTGGCGTTTCTAAGCCCCCGCAATGTAGAAAAGTAGAGGTCACCAGTGTCGGGGAAATTTGCGTATAACATCAGACCGTCAAGCATTGATCCATTTTCGATGGGACAACTTCCAGCCAGCGCCTGAAAAACGAATCCAGCTCCACGCTCGCCGAAGTGACCCACAATCGCATTTGGGTATATATATCCATATTTAGCATCATCGGCAGGCAACGGCCGAATGCCAGTCACGATGCCTCCTTCTCCTTCAATATGCACAAATGGTCCCTCTCTTTCTGACCATCCATAATTTCCCCCAGCCTTAATAATATTAATCTCTTCAATGTTGTCCCGTCCCACATCGACTACAAAGAGTTCTCCCCTTTTGCTAAAGCAGAGATTGTGAGGGTTTCGAAGCCCAAGAGCATAAATTTCATCGAGGTATGTTGCATTCCCAACGAAGGGGTTTGAAGACGGGACTGTGTAGGGCATCGAACCCCGCTTGAGAGGGTCGATTCGCAACACTTTCCCGAGAGCATCATTTCTCTGCCCGCCACCAACTGTTCGAGACATCTCCGATCCGTCACCATGTGCTATATAAAGTAAATTTCCTCGAAACTTCAGCTGCCGAATTGTATGGTCATAAACGGGAACACCCATGCGCAGCACCTGGCGGTAGCTTGTGGGTATTGGGACTCCAGACCGGCTCACCTTCCATTCTGCAAGGACACTGTCTGCGGGCACAGAGGTTCGCTCCGGGAACGACAGATATGTGAAGCTCCTCCGGTTTGTGCGCTCCTCCATGAAACTCGTGTATATCAATCGGTTTCTTCTGAAGTTTGGGTGAAAGACTATACTGCGTAGACCTCCATGCAAGAACTTAGTGAAGTCCATTTCTCGACCCGTGGCTTGTTTAACTGCCGCACCTACATCAAACCATAATGAGGATGTGCCACTTTGGGTTACCTTGTATATGTGTCCGTTCACGTTTGCGCAGACATACAGGTCGGTTCCAAGGCTGGTCATGCTGACAATTCGCTGGGGTTGTCTACCACGAAACTTCGGCAGTTGGGCAAACTTGCGGACGAAGACTTGACGGCGGCTTGGAACAATAGGAGTATCGACGGGGTTCACAGTGCGTTGTGCGACGGCCAAGGACAGGCATGCTGCCATTAGGAAAAGAATTAGCCTCATGTTGCAGTGGTACTGAGTGCAGGAAACAAAATACCGGATGCCACTTGCTGGAAAGAGGTCGCCTTATAAACAGTTAAAGTTGAATTGAAAGAGTCGGCAAGTCGTTAGTTAGATTTCCATATTTCTGGTGTGTTGAAGCAGGGTGACGCAAGTATGAAGGTTATCGTTCTGATTGCGCCTGAACCGCAGTGCTAGTGTAACTTCATTGTTACTATCAAAAACTATAATACAGTAGCACAGCAAAGTTAGATCTGTGGCAAACAGTCATCTTACATGCCTGATAAGCATTGTAGTGTGCTTCGTAAAGTTAGCAAATATGGTGCTATTTTGTGATGATGAGGAAAACTGTGGAGTCTCAAGAGGCTTTTAATGTCATGGAGGCAAACAAGGACTTTGTGCAACGTAGAATGTCCACGAATGATTTCGCACGACAGCGCTGCCGAGGTCCTCCTCCGACACGTTGTGCTCTGTATTTGGATGTGGAATTCAAATTAACTTACAACCAGGTGGAAAATGTTACAGTACTGTACTAAAAACACTTACGGGCTGAAGCCCATTAGATTCTCGTATAAATAGATCAGATCGTTCAGTGAAAAAAATCTTGCGGTGTGAAACCGGAACATGGTACTGTATAGTGCCTCGCGGCAAGGTACTTGAAATCTTCTGCAGCCCTGCAATATGAATCCATTACAATACAGTTAGAAGAAGAGTACGTCATCGGGTAATGTACTCGCTCAAGAGTCGGAATCTGAAGCCATGGAGGATGATACGAAGAGATTTGTCCAGGTCTATCTCGTAAATCATCCGTTTAGAAGTTAGCCTAGCACCAGAAGCGCAAACACTGTCCTTGGCAAGAGGAGCCGTGCACCATACCGTCTCCAGAAATGCCTCGCCCATAACATGCGACTGTTATGACCAGGGAAGCTTTCTTCGATCGCCTACAATGCAGCGCTTGTTACTGTGCTGCCATGCCACCCGTTGATTCGCTGATGCCAACAAAGGACTTACAGAGACTTACGTCGAAGAACAGAATACAGGGGGGGACGCGCAATAGTGCCGCTTTCATTATTGCCACCCTCGAATTAGTGCCGCCAAAACCGGCAGACACAGGTTCTGCCACGTGTCATGCACGACGTCGTCATCGCCCACTCCTCATGCGCCTCAGCTCAATTGGTGACGTGATGGCACCTCACTCAAAGACCCTAACATGAATCCTGAAAATATCGCCAAAGCGAAGCGTACGCGCCTTACGATTGCACAGAAAATCGAGGTTGGGCATCTGCTGCAGGTCGGGAATGCGAATACCACAGTTATGCTTCAGTTCAAAATTTCAGAGCGAACCATCCCAAACATCAAACGCTCTCTTCCTTTACTCCAACAAATTGTGACCAACACCGCTACAACGCTCAGAACAAAGACTTTGCAGCCTGCGATGTGGAGGAATGGATTGAGATCGAGACTAATGAGCTTGTGGCAGAAGCTTCTATTAGTGATGCTTGCGATTCAATAAATTATGGTGGAGAGCTACAGAATCAGTCTGCCAGTGATGCTATGATGGATGATTGTGTGGCAGAAGACGAGTGTGAAATTACGGAGAGGCGGGCCGTACAGAGTGCTGTAGTGCTAGCAAGGTTGTTTGGGTCTTTGGAGAGTCTGGGTGTGGAGTGCGATGTGCGCAATGCCTTGTCGCACTTGAGGTCCACAAAACGAGCTTTTCTAGAAGCTCTAGGCATGAGAGACAGGGTCAAAGGCAACAACAGCAGACTCTAATAACAGAGTTCTGGCCGGGTAGTGATTCTGCTTTCTGATTGTGCCGCTCCGAATTAGTGCCGCATTATTAGTCCTTACACAGGGCGGCACTAATGCGTAGGGTCGACTGTAATTGGTATATCAAAGTGGATTAGACATCAAAGCACTCTTATCTATTTCAGTTCATATAATTAATATCGTGTACCGTACAAATAATCACCTGTATAGGCTAAAATGCTTCAAACCGGAACAGAACAAAACTAGTGCTCGTACGGGCTCTCATAGCCCGATCCTATCACTAACTCATGCGACTTACCTCTCTTATCGCCAGCTCCAAGAAAGTCCATTTTCTCAGATTATAAATTCGACCGGATTTTCCATTCACCTACTCCCTATAATCTCCAAACGCGAGCCTGTATCTGGCGTATGATACACTTCTTATAGCGGACTCTCTGAGTACACTGATCGCAGTATTTAACATGGACAAGGTTAAATTTGAAGCCCACTTTTCCGTGTGCACTCATGAAATAATCTGGACCATATTAGTTTTGAATGCAGGCTAAATAGTGCGGATTTCACAAATAACCTGGATCATTTTATTTTGAGATAATGTTGCATTTAGGGGGGCGATCAGGTGCATTTTTGCAGTGATCAAGAGGTAAAATGGCAAAAGTTGCAGTGAACAACGGTGACGGTTGGTAGGTATGCAAGAGGTACCCATCCGGTAGAGAGGTTTTGTAGCGATCACTACGGCGAAAAATCTTACGTCAGAGGTGACAGGAAAAACATTTGCTGATAGAGAGGAGTGACAATAGCGGACAGTGCAATTTATAGTACACCGATAACAGGATTTAGTATGGGCTAGACTAATTTACAGGCCTATTTTTGGCACCTTAGAACATAAATTAGCATGGCCTACTCTAATTTGGGTACCCCACTTTATACAGTCCGGAGAAAATGGATGGGCCCATATTTCGGCAAAAGTCACGAACTGATACTGTACTGTGGGACACTGCCTTGTCTTTAAATAAAGTTAATCCATGTCGAACTGATATTAATGTAGGCCATTCTAATTGGGTACTATGCATTTTTTCCGCTAATTTTTCCCCCAGACTAAATCCAGTTAACGGGTGTACTTGACAACTGCTGAATTCGAATACTGCGGGGGTAGTGCGGTGGGTACTGAAGGATGGGCCACTCTGCGGTATCCCCGTAACGCTGCTTCAGAGAGCAGTCCTTCACGGTGTAATCCGAACAGGAGTACACACGCCTCTTCTTGGCAGCCGGGCCTTTTTCGTACAACTTTTTTCTTACGCCTCCCAGCCCTCCTAACGGGGCGACCGCGTAGTGACGGCCAAGCTTTGGGAATTTGTAGA